AGCTATTGTTATGTTACCCACGAGACGACGTCGTCTTTTCAAACTCAGCTTTTATCGATCACTTAACCCAAGTCGTTCCTTATAACTTTGTTAAGAAAGTAATAAATATTTTATTTGGGTTATTAACGGTCAATTTTTTTTTTACATTAATGTTTTAATAAGAAATTTAGGGATAAAAGTAATAAAGTGTTAATGAAGTTTTCTTTTCATGATAAAACATTACTGTTTAAGTGATGGATGTTTTAAAATATCACTTTTCTTATCGAACGGTGTAAATTATTTCTTAAAAGGAAAGACGACGTCAACTTCCCGTTTCACTTCCCTTCCATTTTTTGATCATGTTTTCCTTTCAGAGATAGTTTACGGTCGCGGTCTCGAACCGTCACTTTTGACGGTCTCTTACCGTTAACTTGATATTCTCGTCGACTATCACGCCAGCAAAGAAAGAAAGAAAAACCGTACTCCCCCGTATTCCTTCGAAGTGTAAATAATGTATTTTTACATCAAGGACCAAAAACCGTGCGAGACGTAATCGATAAGAAACCTTGAAGCACTTCGTTCGTGAAGAATAACCGTTTTATATAAAAAAAGGAAACCCCTTCCTCTTGTGCTGATCACACCCGAAGCCCGTCATTAAAATTGAATGGTAACCGATGATTGATGATGTCTAATGGACTGTTCAAATTGAACACACACGAAAATTGGATTACCATAATCCCAAATTTCACATTTTGGGGAAATTTTCTTGGTGCGTAACCAGAAATTATCGATCGGAGTTGAGAAAATTTTAAATTCTTGGGAACCCCGAATACATTATTCATTTGGGTTGCGGGAAAATGGGTCACGTACCTTCAGACCTCCCGGTTCATAAAGAACCGGGGACTCTGATTTCCCTTTCGCTTTCGATTCCAGTCATTTGAGACCGGTTGCTGTATCAATAGCTTCGTTATTCGTTATTGATTTAACTTATTTTTTTGTGATTTTGATGGAATATTGTACACTTTATCGTGGAATAATCAAGTGAAACTTCATTATAAATTTAACGAGTCTTGGAAAAGTTAAGGAAAATGTTAACGTGTTATTAGTAGAAGTGGAACACTTAATTGAAATTACCTAATTATATATAATAGATACTAAAATACCCATATAGCTAGATTAATTACTTTGATCGATATATCATATATCTTCATTAATCTAAGATTAATGATAGTTATATATTACACCAATGGGAATTTCAGCGTTATTTCCTTATTAGTCATCAATATTAATAGCCAATTCAATTTTTGATATAATTTTCCTTTTGGTTTTTCTAGCATAATAAAATAATTTTATCTACTTAATTAGTCACGGGACTTCAAATTTCAAATAAATGTTTAAGTACCAAAATTTAACTTTGTTGGAACACTATTATTCATCCAAGGTGTGCAAACGTTGTGCTTGAATGCGTTGAACCCGAAGTTTTTTGATAAAGACCTTATTTTCATACTAAATAGCCTTAATATTTTATGTTGTTTCAAAATATACCGTTGTTGCCGAGATTTCATTTTATCAAATATTAAATTGAAGTAACAAGTCAGAAACTGAAAGATCATAAATCATGCAGATGTCAAAAAAGAAATTTTCTCATACAAAAAAGATCCTGCTATTCTTTATACATATTTAGTTCTCTGCAAGTAGTACATAGTCTTTGGGTTTGGTTCGAACTAGTTTAGTTATAGTTTAGTTATTCCTAAAGATAGTTGATACGGGATAAGAAGAAAAATTGTAGGGAAGTCTTTCTAGCAACATATCACTAAAAAAGTGATATGTTGATATAAAAGTGACTGCTTAAGACCAGCAAACGTGTTGTTAGGTTCGTTATTTCCAGATGATGAAGTCTTAAACGAAATAGAAGGGCAAACGTAACTACAACTAGAAGAACGAGTAGCTTTCACCTTTTAGATGACTGATAAGATGGGCAGACAGGCTGAGGAAATTGACACTCGATGCATCTGATGGCACAAATCCAGAAGGAATGGAGAAAAACAGTAAACCTAATATCATCAAAACCCTCACGATGTTTTGCCTTCTGCTACCATCAATCTCGAGGTTCATACTCATTAAACAAAGAAGTTTGCAAGATAGAAGTAGTTTGAGTTTGATGGGATAGTTTAAGGCATCGGGCTTCATAACAGTACCTCAATATCATAAATTTTAAGTTAATTTGATCAATTATTATCTCATACTGCAGAATACTATTCGATATTCAGGGAACTAACTGCTATGTTATGTGTAAATGTGATGAAGTGTGGAAAAGCTGTTCTGTTATAGAAGAACAAACTTGATACGAAGCGTGCCCAGAAATTTTGATTATTATTTTCAAGAAGGACGATGCGAAAAATTATTAACAAAATGAAAAACATATTCTGTAAGTCTCATGATATGGTACAAGAAGCACGGATTTTTAAATCGAAGATTTGGTTTATTTAAGGTATAATAAAGGTCAACACTGGAAGCCCGAAATAATTGAAATACACATCGGAAATGTATCGGAAACTGCTGAAACATAGAGTTCGTAGAATTTGTATCATAGAACTCCAGACCTATATAAATTAATTCGCGAAAATGTCAAGAACACAGATTAATTCTGCGATAATTACTTCTTTGATTAATTTCGTCCATATTTTCTGCAATTGAGTAGTAGTTCATTAGCAACAATTTTTATTCATAACATTTTTTTCCTAACATTTTTAATTTTCAAGTTGTATGTAACCTAAGTTTTTATCCAAAAACGTCAATTTACTGATTTTGGGCATTTTATAGGCATTATAACAATTGTAGAGAAATCGTTTATGGATTATGTATCTGTGATGTATTATGAACAATTTTTATCAAAATCATTCTCATCCACAATTTTAAATTTTTGAGATAAACCCATTTCATGGCAAAATGTGTCAAATTTGAGATATTTCGTATTTTAATGCTGGTAATAATGATAATTGGATAATAAGCACTTGTAAATAATGTTGTATCAATTACCAACGATTTTCATCCACAACATTTTCACCTAACATTTTTAATTTTGAGGTTGCAACAAATTTTTTATCCAAAAACATCGATTTACTGATTTTGGGCATTTTATGGTTTATAACTAAAGATTTATAACAATTGTAGAAAAATCGTTTATGGATTATGTCTCTGTGATGTATTATGAACAATTTTTATCAAAATCATTCTCATCCACCATTTTTAATTTTTGAGATAAACCCATTTTATGGCAAAATGTGTCAAATTTGAGATATTTCGTATTTTAATGCTGGTAATAATGATAATTGGATAATAAGCACTTGTAAATAATGTTGTATCAATTACCAACGATTTTCATCCACAACATTTTCACCTAACATTTTTAATTTTGAGGTTGCAACAAATTTTTTATCCAAAAACATCGATTTACTGATTTTGGGCATTTTATGGTTTATAACTAAAGATTTATAACAATTGTAGAGAAATCGTTTATGGATTATGTCTCTGTGATGTATTATGAACAGTTTTTATCAAAATCATTCTTATCCACCATTTTTAATTTTTGAGATAAACCCATTCTATGGCAAAATGTGTCAAATTTGAGATATTTCGTATTTTAATGCTGGTAATAATGATAATTGGATAATAAACACTTGTAAATAATGTTGTATCAATTACCAACGATTTTCATCTACAACATTTTTAATTTTGAGGTTGCAACACATTTTTTATCCAAAAACATCAAATTACAGATTTTGTTGATTTCATTTTGGGGGTTTATAACTAAAGATATAAAAGAGTTGGATAAAAATTGTTTATTGATTATGTTTTTGTGATGTATTATGAATAATTTTTATTTATACAATTCTTACCTACAGTTTTTAATTTTTGAGATAAACCTCATTTTATTACTAAATGTGTCAAATTTGATATATTTTAATTCCGCTACGTTGGTAATGTTGTATCATTCTTTCCTAGTCTTACTTTCAGGTTGTTATCAACTTTTTTAACCAAACCAAGTTATTAAATGCTTGTAACCTGTATTGTATCTTGTTCAATTTAATATCACTATAACTAAAATTCAAGAGGCGAATTTGGTCACTTTTTGCACCCAATAAAAGTTAACGAGTTGTTGCTGATTTCAAAGAACTAGTACTACTAACAAGTACTAATGACGAGTTGCATAGAGCTAAAACTTCAATGTTCAGGTTCAGGAATCATTCAATTGCAGGCCAAGCTTCTTAATTAAAAGAACATGGGTTTGCAAAAGAACTCAAAGTAGAATGCTGAAAGTTTGCAAGCACTCTCAAATTGGTGCTTTAGAGTTTTTTGAACAATCTCAAGTTTATGATGATTAATATATAAGGCTTCTAAAGGAAAATCTGTTTTATCAAGATTTTCATCACAATTTAAGTTATATTCTTTAAATGAAAAGTCAAAGAACGAATAAAATTGTGTTGTTAAAAAGTAGATATTTGCTAGAAAAAGAGACAGGGAGAAAAGTTGTATTTGACACGTGGGATTCAGTCGCAGATTGGAATAAGATTCACGTAACGCAATCTTTTCCTTAACTTATCTTGTCAACGCGTCTAAAATCTGAAACGTAATCTTTGAAAGGAAATTCCCTCTAAATTTTCCGAACGATTTTATTTTATTTCAAACAATTAGATCGTTGTTTATAAATGTAAAAGTATTCGTTTATAACCATATCAAGTTCGAGTAAATAAAACATGGCTAAAATATTTCGATTACAATAAAACTAGATAAAAATATCGAAAAAAAAAAAATGTAAACAAAAAAAGCGTGTGTGTGTACAAATAAATTGGTGTGTCAAATCAAACGTAAACAATAAATTTTGCAATTTTATTGTTATCAAACGTTATCGGAATGTGTGTTTAATCAACCTGCAAAAATGATCATTTTTCCTCAGCTTTCTTAGCTTAAATAAATATAAAATTAAATTTCGTCTTTAAAAGATACTTTTCTTGTTTAAGAACCATCACCACTTTACGACAACAATCATTACCACGAGGAATGCCTCCGGTGCAATTCCTGCGGCCTGAACTTAACGGGCCCAAACCAGAAAAGGGCTCGTCGTTTCAAAAACCAGATCCTCTGCGACCTGCATTTCGCTGATGTGGCCCTCATGGAGTGCTCGGACTTTATGCAGCAGCTGCGGTCCTTCAAACCGCAGTCGCTCGGTTGTGCCGTTGCCAGAAGAAAATCATCCACAACATTGATCTTCCCTTTACCTCCACAAGCGTGTTCTGGTAAATTTTTTACTAAAACTTTTTTTGAATCATTTAATATCGTTTATCAACCCATATCAAGTGTTATTAGTAGTCCCTTTTCACGTCGGATAACATCCTTGAAGGAAAGGAAAACGACGCCGACGTCTCGAGGACTAAACTCTTGTTGAGTTATGTTGGAAATTTCTTATCCTATTAGAGTTATTAGACGATTTCGTGAGATTGATGGGGCGTATGAATCTCAATTTGGTTAATTCCTGAAATAAGCGAGCAAAGAAAAAGTTAAAAAATATTTAATAACACACGTTTTAAAAAAAAAATTATCTTTTTTAATTGGATTCTTGGAGCTCTGAAAGTTACATAACGTTATTAACATTACAGGAACATATCGGTTTCAGATTTTCCAGGAAAACGTAATAAAGACAGGTAACGCAAAACATTTCCTGGATGTATACACAAAAAAACAAAAATAAATTAAATTGCACGACGAAAATGCTCAAAAACAACGGAGATTTCCGGCGGAATGAAATTTTCGTAGTCGTCGTTGATGTAAATGTGGAACTAAATTTTTTACAAAAGAAGGAAATTGTACTGTCAGGTCACTCTAAGTTTGAACACCAAGCTTTGTTGTAATCGTTTGGTGTTCTACCTTACAGTGAGTTGACTTTTACATTAACAGCAATAATTTATCATCATCAAATTATTTCTAAGATAAATAAATTTAATAAAGCATGATTAATTTTCGTTTTATTTGAAATAGATGAATTTTGCGAAGAATTTCCACATAATTTCCATCCAACTCCGGGTTATTGGATCGAATGTTCGCGACAAAAGATAGCTTCCGATACGATTTGGGACGAAAGCGAATCCGATCACGATCTTCAAGAAGGCGACGAGGACGATAGGAATGACGGTATAGATCAAGAGAATGGGCCTAGATCCAAAACTAGAGATCATCACAGTAGGTTTCAATTAATAAAATTAATTTCAATTTAATCGAAAATCAATTACACCAAAATTAATGTTTAATTTTCCAATTAATAAATGAAATTGAAGTTGTCGTTTCAACCAAATAACAATGAAATTGTAACTGTTAAACACAACGATGAAATACAAATTTAATTCATCTATATCAAAATAGGGGATTAATTTATAGAATAGTTTTGAATGCTACAAATTATTAAAAAAATAATTATAATAGTATTTTTTTCTGAATGTTTCTAGTTTTAGGTCTAGTGTTAATTCAAATTCTAATGTTAGTTCTAGTTTTAGTTTTGTGCAGCCTTTGATTCTTGTATATTTTTATTGAACTAAAACTAGAATTAACACTAGACCTAGAACTAGAATCATTCGGGTTTAGCCGAACGTCTCTTAAGACGGCTAAACCCGAATGATTCTAGTTCTACGTCTAGTGTTAGTTAAAATACTTGTGTTCATTCTAGGTGGTATATTTTTCATTGAACTAAAACTAACACTAAACCTAAAACTAGAAACATTTGGATTTAGCCGAACGTCTCTTAAGACGGCTAAACCCGAATGATTCTAGTTGTAGGTCTAGTGTTAGATCAAATGCTTGTGTTCATTCTAGGTTGTATATTTTTCATTGAACTAAAACTAACACTGGACCTAAAACTAGAATCATTCGGGTTTAGCCGAACGTCTTTTAAGACGGCTAAACCCGAATGTTTCTAGTTCTAGGTCTAGTGTTAGTTCTATTTTTGTTTGGTATTCAGCGTTAGATTCTTGTATATTTCTATTGAAACAAAACTAGAACTAACACTAGACCTAGAAGTAGAATCATTCGGGTTTAGCCGAACGTCTCTTAAGACGGCTAAACCCGAATGGTTCTAGTTGTAGGTCTAGTGTTAGTTGAAATGCTTGTGTTCATTCTAGGTTGTATATTTTTCATTGAACTAAAACTAACACTAAACCTAAAACTAGAAACATTCGGATTTAGCCGAACGTCTCTTAAGACGGCTAAACCCGAATGATTCTAGTTCTAGGTCTAGTGTTAGTTCAAATGCTTGTGTTCATTCTAGGTTATATATTTTTCATTGAACTAAAACAAACACTAGACCTAAAACTAGAATCATTCGGGTTTAGCCAAACGTCTCTTAAGACGGCTAAACCCGAATGTTTCTAGTTCTAGGTCTAGTGTTAGTTCATATCATTGTGTTCATTCTAGATAATATATTTTTCATTGAACTAAAACTAACACTAGACCTAAAACTAGAAACATTCGGATTTAGTCGAACGTCTCTTAAGACAACTAAACCAGAATGATTCTAGTTCTAGGTCTAGTGTTAGTTCAAATACTAGTGTTAGTTCTAGTTTTAGTTGTTATTCAGCGTAAGATTATTATATATTATTCATTGATCTAAAGCTATCTAAAAATGTAATAACAAGGTTTTGAAAGCTACAAATTATTACACACACGACAGTTAATCAATACTAATTTTTCTTCTACCATGAATATTACTCGATACGAAAAGGTTACAAGTTCAACAAGTTTCCCATCAAATTCTTGATAATCAGGTCAAACTTGATAAGAACACGGTTTCAAGTTGAAACGATCACCTGGCGATCGCACAAAGTGAAGGAAGTCAGCCCATTAGCTTTTCCTCACGCTAGAATAACTTTGAACTTTAACCCTTGACTGATAAAGCTTTTTCGGACTTCGTTTTGAAACTCGCGTGATACAATTGGATTAGAACTGATTAGGCGTCCATTAGCATGGAAGTTCGAAGGTACCGATAATTGCCAAAATAAATCTCTACTAATGGCACACCCCGGGCGCTTAATCTTGTTGTTTGTTGATTTAGGTTCGAAGGACGATTGAGTTAATTAGGCATTTTGCTTCCGCGCGGTTCGATTTTTATTGACTTTTCGTATCATTAAATAGTCTTAAATTAGAATTTAAAAATATTTTTTTTAATTAGGTTGCAATGAGTTGTATGAAGACGATGAAGAAGATGATATGTCATCACCTAGAAAGAAAACAACGATAGAAGAGCAATGGGAAAAAAATCAAGGTTTTGAATTGACGAGTGTGGAACAGGAAACCTACGAGAAGTACTTTTACGCAACGGAACACTGGAACTATTTTACGAACGATGAGGATTTAGGACCTGTTATCTTGTCTATAAAGCAAGAGACATTAAATTCAAGAGATCAATTTAGGTGAGCATGGAAATCCCATTAAACTTAGTTCGCCATTTTTTACCGGCTTCAAACAATTTCTAATTTATTTTTTAGCCCGGTTTTATTATCGGCATATTTTCATCATTCATAATCATATTTTTAGAGATTTTCCTTTCATTACTCCCCATCTCGACCGGGTTTGCTCATTAACTTTAATATTTCCGCTTAATGTGCAAGACTGAAGGGCGCGCAATTCGAGCACGTTTCCATCCGGGTCGTTTAGAATCAACGTCCTAAAACGTTGTCTCTCGTCGATAATACTCCACCCACCATTTTCATAGTGTTCCGGAACCCTTTTGTAAACTTTAATTTTCACCAGGTTAATATTTACGTTATTAAATGAAATTAGCATTTTATCACCCTTTCAATCTATTAAATAGCATAAATTATTGGAGTTTATAAATAGATATAGGGGGGATAAAAAAAGGTTTATGATGAAGTAAACTTTTTTTTTTGTACTTTTTTATGGGGTTTGGTAATTAAGTTTTATGGATTAGAATAAAAAGAAAAGTAATTAATTATGGGGAAGGATTTAGAATTACAGATATAGTAAAATCAATTCTGACAAAAACTAAATGCAGTTGAAAATAAATCATCAGAAGCCAGACAGAGGGAAAGATAATTTTAGATGATCAAAATGTTCAGACATATAATTCCTGGGTCTTTTATTACTAATAAACAAAGTATCTACATGCTAGACCCCAGTTTTAGAAATGCAACTTTAAAAGTATCATTACCAGAGACGTTAGTTAGATTCTTTGGTTCAATCAGATTTTTGATCGAAATATATATTAAATCCTACATAAATCCCTCCTTATATCCTAACGTTAATTAATCAATAAATTAATATCGTTAATAATAAGAAGAGAATTAATGAGCTTATTGTTAGTAAAAGTATTCACAAGTTAATATGGCAATTCAGATCTTCCAGATGCATTGAAGTTTGTAATAACATCAACCAAAGTAGAGGAAAATCTTTCTGGAATGAAGTCAAAAAACTATTAAAATACAAAAAAAAAACATCCAGCCCGTTTATCTTATAGATCCATCTGATGGCTCCAGCTGTAACACTGATTTCGAAAAGGCACAAGTACATGCTAAATCTAGAAGAATGTTTTAAAAAATCTGAAAATCACTTATTTGATAACGACCATCACAATCAGATTGAAGACTGGTTTACAGCGTTTGACAACACTGCACAAATTTCTAATAACAAATTGCATGTCGACGAAGATGTTGGGAATTGTTAAGCAAGGGAAAAAATACTTCGGCCGACTATGATAAGCTGACACGAACAATTTTTAGACAATTACATCCTAACATTCATACATATGTAAAAGACATATTCAAATTTTGATTCCAAAATCAATACTTTCCTAATAAATAGAAAACTGGGGCAGTTGTATGCATCCCAAAAAAAGACTTGAACCTACAAACGCCTTCTGGTTAATAACGTTGCTTTCTGTCATCGGGAAAATGTTTGAAAATCTTATTAAAAAACGACAGCTAATGTATGTTGAAGATAAGATTCCACATTATCAATTTGGATTTAGATCAGGGAAATCGACTAAACATCCACTAGCTATTCTTACTTCAAATCTACACACTTGTCACTTGTAGCAAATAAAATCAGTGTGGCAGAATGGTCTGATTTACAAATTACACAAATTAAACATTCCACCTGAGTTACTTAAATTACTGTCAAATTTTTTAAAAGATTGTTCTTTTCGTGAAAGAACAAATGAATCTATCCCGGATTAATTCCAAATTCAACAATGCGTACCACAGGGTTCGCCGCTCTCACCAATACTATACAATGCTTTTGCATATGATATGATGGAAATTTCCGCGCTGTCTACCTAATAGCGCATGAGCAGAAACTTGAAACAGCCATAGTAACATTACAAGAAGCAACTAACAAAATAACTAAATGGTGCTCTTCCTGGAGAATTAACACAAACGTTTCAAAAACACAACTTCTAGGATAACAGATAATTCTCCAACAGTATACAGCAGACGCAAATCAGTCCTTCAGCGAACATCAAATACCTAGGTATAATTTTTGACAGCAAACTGAAGTTCCACATACACACAAAAAAGGCTAAAATGTAAGCAATCACCAGAGCAAAGCTGTTTAGAAGTTTAACCTACAAGAAAGAAGGCTTTAACATCAAATGCGCTGCGCATATTTATAAGACTATTTGTAGACCAATTTTAGAGTATGCAAGCCTATTGACCTATGATAGCAAGCGATGCACACAAAGGAGTTTGGAAGTTGGCGAAAGAACTAGTCTCCGAGCAGTAACATTGCACAACATCGCAAATAAAACGATTTTACATTATTTCGGTTGAGCGACTTCTAATTTTAGCAAACAAATCTAAGAGCAAGATGGTTGAAGAAATGTCACCCCTATTTATACATTCAGAATTCGACACTATTTACAAAAGGATTATGACAAGATAACAATATGTGGCTGATTTAATTTTAATTATTGAGATGGGGCGGAAGGACTTTGGTCGATAGCCCTTTTTGGACTTAATATAGAATGTACATTATGTTGTTGTTTATGTTATATATTGCTTTTAATTGTCTAAAATAAATCTACTGTCTCTCTCTCCAACATAAATTTCTAAGGGTTAATTTACAAAAATGTCCGAAATTGTTAAGTTCAATCCGCTCCCAGAATCTGATAAAACCCAAATGCAACTAGAAAACTCTCTCAATGCTGGCGACCAGATAATCTTTTGCCTATCTGCTCAAGACTCTAATTTAAACTAGTTCATCAAAATGATTTCCCAATTATTGTCATTTATTGATTAAATTATTGTGAGCTGCGTTGAAAAAGTCAAAACTTGGTTTTTGATGATTTGTTGAGTTCAGAATTGTTTCCACTCAGGTTGTTCACTTTGCTCTTGCTCAATCAACTTCTGATTATGCGAATCCAGCAGTTTTTGAATATCATCAAAATCATCCTCTAAATTTGATTGTCTGAAAAAATTAACCACTTCTTCAATCACATTACCATTTTCATCAGAATCTGGCGTTTATGCCCCTTATCTAAAACATTGAATGCACAAATCATCTGGTATAGTAGCTTTAAATGTCATCAAATGACTCTCTGGTCTATCGGTTGAAACATACGTTGTGAATCAATAATAGTATCAAATTAGATGGGATTTGTTTTAATTGGCAATAACGTTCGACTTTAGGTGTTAATTAAACACGTCCTTACAAAGGCAAGCTGTCACCAAAGCTTTAGCATTTAAGGCAATTGAGGTTTATTTATTATTTATAATCAACTGCATTCGCTCCAACTCATTGTCAATCGATATTTGATAGCTTTAAAATTTGGAAATGTTTTCTCTTCACCATCATCTTATTAAAAATGTATTAATTTCAAATAATTCTTATATTTTTTCTATTACCAACAGGATATTGGTTAGAGCTATTAGCTACACAGTTCACGGCTTAATACCCGCCAGTTGTGTATTTGCCGATCGGTACAATAGGGAGGAGGTCGTCAGGTCGTTGGGAAAGGAGGTGAACATCAACCCCCCTTTAACCCTCGGACAACTTCCTGACACGCCGGAAGAACTGTTGAAATTAGACCAGGTGGGTAATGAATTAAACGCAACAAGCGTTTGTGTCATGTCAAACTTTTCTTATTCTTTTATTGAACAGTAAATATTTTTTGTTTTAGGTTTTTATTAAATCCGAATTAAAAGTGGGAGTAATTTATGTGAAAGAAGGTCAATATTCCGAGGAAGAAATTCTTGATAACAATGACAATTCGTTACTTTTCGAAGAATTTTTACAAATTCTTGGCGAAAGGGTCCGTTTAAAAGGGTTTGATAAATATAAAGGTGGTTTGGATACCGTTCACGATTTAACAGGTCTTTATTCCGTTTATACAAACTGGAGAAGTATTGAAATTATGTTCCATGTGAGTACGTTGCTTCCTTACGAAAAACATGACCCCCAAAAACTGCAAAGAAAGCGCCACATCGGCAACGATATAGTTTGCGTAGTCTTTTTGGAAGCTGATAACACATCGTTTTCACCTTCTTGTATAAAAAGCCATTTTCTGCATACGTTTATCTTAGTAAGGACATCGCCGAGGATAAAAAGAAAACCGACGAGATATGAAGTGTCCGTTGTTACCAGAGATGAAGTAGGAGCTTATAAACCCTATTTATGGGAACAAAGTGTTTTTGATAAAGGCCCTATGTTTAGAGAATGGCTTTTAACTAAAATTGTGAACGGAGAAAGAGCTAGTTATTCAGCACCGAAATTTGCGCGAATGCAAGAGAGAACTCGATCTCAAATGTTGGAGGATATCGTAGCTAATTTGCAGAATCATGCGGAAACTGGACAAATACCTAAACCTTATAGGAGAGGTTCTTGGAGACCTATTGGACATATGAGACCATCATCACCTTTATTAGATAGTGTTCGAGATCAATTTGAAGATTACGATCAATTAGCGAAAGATTTTACGAGGATGTTCTTAAACAGCAATGAAAATACATTAGCTAATTCGCAACTATTTGACGTGGTTTTTATGGTGGGCCAATCAAAACAAAAAACGAAATTTATTGGCGTTAGAGCTATTCTTGGAGTAAGAAGTCGAGTATTCCAAGAAATGTTATACGGAATCCAAACGGGTTTTGGCTCCCCTCAAGTTCCCGTTGCTGAATTATTAGCAAGACCAGTGCCAACCCTTCTCAGCCCACAACAATCAAGACCGAAAAGCAGCAATTTCCTTCAAGTTCCCGACATCGAATCACCTCGTCCAAAAAGTGTCCCATCGTCGCCGATGGTAAAAAGGGCATTCTCTAGATTAGGAACTATAACAGCCGGATGGGGGCGATCAATTCGAAAATCTAACGCTCAACAATTAACGGTCGACGATAAAAAGAAATGGGCTAGTAGCCATGATTGTTCGAATAAAGATGGAAAAGACAAAGAAGGAAAAGATAAACCAACAGCACAACAACTTCCAGTACCGAGATTAAGCGTTTGCGCCGATGCACAAAAAGTCGATAGAGCTAAATTAGCTCAAACGGAATTTTCAATTATCGAATTCGATCCGGATACTTTTCGTATTCTTCTAGATTATTTACATACCGGTTCGTGTCCGTTAACTTGTTCTACAATACCCGGTTTAATATGCGCTGCTGAACATTACGATTTACCGGAGTTATTACAAGCTTGCTTCCATCATGCCAAACAATTCTTAAGAATCGATGTGGTATGACGAAAAAAAATTTTTTTTAATAATCTCATTTATTAATTTAATTTTAATTTTAGGTGTGCTGCATGTTGTGTTCATTAGAAAATTATTATTGGAGATATACTTCCGCTTCGGAGTTAGTGAATATGATAATGGCTTTTGTCGAAACAAGAGCTTACACTTTATTTCAAACATCCGAATTTTTAACGTTAAGTGAAAGCATGGTACAAATGATAATGTGTAGGTAAGTAAAATGAATATACAACAATCTAGTGCTGACTAATCACTAAAACTAGAACTAACACTAGATCTATAACTAGAAAGTTTCGGGTTTAGCTGTGCGTCTTCAGACGTTCATCGATAACTTTCCACCAATTATTAAAATATCCTCTTTTTAATGCAAAAAGCCGTTTTGAAAAAGCCCTGAAAATTTTCCAAAGTGTTAATAAGAGTGTCGTCTTTCCAATGCAACAAGCCGTTTTGAAAAATCCCTCTCAGTTCTTGAGAAATAAATTTTTGAAATGATCGAAAATTTTTTCGAATTTTTCAGTTTTCGTCGATAAAGTTTTAAAAATTCATATAAAATCCAGTTCTTGGAATATGAGTATGAAAATTTCCCAAAGTGTTAATAAAAGTGTCCTCTTACCAATGAACCAACCCGTTTTGAAAAATAACTTTTAGTTTTTGAGAAAACAATATTTGAAGTTTTGATAAAATTTTCGATGTTGCAATTTTCATCGATAACTTTCAAAATTCGCTATAAAATTCATTTCTTGAGGGATCCTTGTGGAAATATCACCAATTATTAATTAAAGTATCCTCTTTTTAATGCAACAAGCCGTTTTGAAAAATCCCTTTCAGTTCTTGAGAAATAAATTTTTGAAATTCTATCGAGGTTTTACTGTATTAAAATATGTTTTTTTTTAATAGAAACTTAGAAGTGGCTGAAGTAATAAAATTTGAAGCAATGTTAAGCTGGGCAAGACATAAAATCCGTACGAAAACATCAAGTAAACTTGACGCAAAATTAGAATTTAAATGTATCATGGAAAGATTAGCGAGGGATTTAAAACTTTATAGAATATCACCCCAAGAACTAATTAAGGTAACTTTTTTAATTATTCCTACTTCTCCATAAAGATTTATTTGCTTATTTATTATCTAGGTGGTATTACCATCAAAAGCGATTAAAAACGAACGAATCTTAGAAACTTTAATGTTCCAAGCAAACACTGGAATGTACAGAATACAAGATTCTTACATAAAAGAGTGCACGCAACGCTTGCAAAAACAAGACTCAAGATTCTCTGAATGGGGTTCATTTGATAATAGTGCATAAATAGGACAATCAAAATTAATTGTTTTTGTTTAAATAAAAATAAGAAAGTGAAATGAAGGATTTTTAATAGCAGTGAGAAGAAAATTGTGATTGTGAAGACAATCTAAAAATTAATTCAAGAAGAAGTCGAAGAAAATTGAAGTAAAAGAAATAAAACAAAAATAATAAGATGAAAATTGAAGAAATATTATCGATGTTCGCCTTTTTCCTTCGAAAAGCATCTTTCTCTCGCAAAAACATCATTAATTGTTTTAAAACATGCTAAAATCAACTGTTAAACAGTTGAATTAACATAAAAAACATAATCTAACTCACATGACACCAATAATTGTTTAAAAAATATATATATATTGTATATTTATAGGAAAAAAAGTCTATCTACATACATATATGCCAAACGTGTGTCAAATCGTTATCATTACTTATTATTATTTTTTCTAATTTCTAAAAATAAATCCCTTCCTGTATAAAAAAAATAAGATACATTTACGAATACTCAAAGATGACGGCAAGAAAACTTGCTGTTTGTATACGTGTTCAATGTTTCATATGTTAAATAATATATAACGCAAATAAGTCTATAAAAGAATATCACAAGAAAAGATATCACCCTATTCATAGGTTGAAACTGGTTCAAATTCAAAAAGAAGTACTTTGTCATAATGTGCAGGTTTATTTTTATACCTACAAATAACAAAAAAATAAATAAATTGAAATGTAATATCTTTAAATAAAAATTTAACATCGCGCACAAAAGACTGTACAAAAATAAGAATTTCTTGTGGGTGGTAATCTTTTCATCAATGAACTAAAGAAAAAAAAATAAAAATATAATAAACGTATATAGACGTAGCTAGCTATAAAAAAATTTAACATATTTTGATACTAAATGAAAACATCCGCAAATCTTGCCGATCACAAAGATTTTAATTTATTTTTAACCCGTTCATTTCTATAATAACAATATAAATTTATAAAAAAAAAGTGTGTCTTAAAAAATATCGTAAAGGAACCTATTGTTGTCTTTAAAAAAAGCATGAAGATGATATAACTCGTTATCTGTTATTGTGCTCTTGTTCGAACGCGGAATAATTTCATCGACATTTTAAGCAAATTGAATAAAAAATATATATAAATATTAATAAAAAGCAATATTCACACAATAATAATAAAATGAGGTACCTTGTAACAAGAGTATATTGGAAGTTATTGTCCGTTCGAAAAAGTACTAGGTCTGTGAGCAAATATAATAAACTATGTGCTTTCAAACTCCAGAGATCAACTAAAAAGGATTAATAATTTTTGTTGTACATGTCAAATTTCTTTATAAAATTTTTGAAGACTTCGGTCTGTATCTAATCACCCACTTAACACCCCCTCGAGAACCATTTATCAATGTTATTAACCAAATATTAAAAAAAAAAATGAAAAATGTGTGAAACTAAAGTGTTTTTATGTATTTTGGTTGTTTATGTGATGAAAACATCTTTAAAAACTAGATGTATTGACGGAATTTAAATTGCTTTATCAAATAAATTATTTTCGAATTATATTTGTTTATTATTAAAATAACTTTAAAACCATCTTAACCTCCACTTATTGTTAGACACACCGCTAAATCCGAATGTTTCTAGTTCTAGGTCTAGTTCCAATACTTATAATTATTACTTGCAGTATCATTAGAACCTAAGGACGCAGCTATATGCACGGAAGTTCTATCAAAGACAATATGAGCAAAAAGGAATTCAAACATTCAGACACTGAGGGTGGAAAGCACACGTCCCAGATCTCTCATCTATTAGGCAGTCTGATATTGTTACTGCTTTATTTCCAACTACCAATGATTTGGCCTTCTCGCACACTATTTCCATATTCAATTTTTCAACTATGTGTCAGACACGATTCTCAGCCAGCCAAGTGCGTTTATGATACAAACATGTTCTTTATATGAATAGGACAGTAGGGCAAGGAATCAACATTGGCTTACTAGAAAATCTTTAACACCTGGAGAGAAGAACATTCTCGCAAGAATCTGCAACATTCTTCTCCCTCACAACATAAAATTAGGACTAATCAAACAGTTTGTGAATCAAATATATCTACGAGAAGTTTCTTTATCTGTCAGAAGCTATTGAAAAATTTTGACGAATTAAGAAAAAAACTCAGTCAGCATTTAAATACTAAAAGTGATATTTAAAGACAAATTATTTTATTGAAAGCATTCCCTTGCTTTCATTGCCAGAGTTGTGCCAAAACTAATAACGACTGAAAATGCAACATCGTCTATTATTGTAGCGAACAATTTTAAGCTACAATATAAATTCAAATTTTCTTTGCATGATATTGGTTGACATTTATATTGAATTAATGATTAAAAGAACAATAATTTTAACAACATATTTATTTGTAATAGTACAAAATGTTATGAAGCTCTTTGAAAATACAAATCCAAATCAGCCATAATTCTAGGATCAACGCTTAATTTTAATTTTTCCAACATGGGTACATAATTAGCAAAACAATTTTTTTCTGTTGGTAAACACCACGGAAATAAACCTATCACAACAAAATAGACAATCTCATTTTCATTGCCATCGTTAAATAGGTTTTCAATAAACAAAAACTTATCGAAACCATCATGCGAATCAATAAATAATTGCAATTGTTTTGTATAAAATTCAATCATATTAAAAGAATACATTTCGATCATTGCAAATAAATGAGGTTTGATGTTTTCGGAGAATATCTTGGGATCTTTGTTGGATTTCAAAAATATAATACTATGTTCTAAGAGGAGTTTTATCGTAATGAGAGTGTGTTGTTGAACATTTGTTTTTAGAACTGTATGAAGATCTTCGATAATTTTAATGTTGTTAAAAGATCTGGCTTCGTTTGTTATCTTAGTAATCAAAGTTGTTGCTTTCGATCTCATTTGAATGTTTGTTGGTGTACATTTTTTTACTAATTCTGTAATTAAGTTAATTATAAATGCGTATATTTCGTTGTGTTTTTCTCCTGTAGTATGAAATAAACATTTGTTAATGAAATTAGTTGTGGTTAAATCGGCAGTTTTGAGACATCGCATCATTAAATCAATGTTTATTTCATCCATTACGTAACCAGGTAGGTTTTCTATTAAATGAATCGCTTTATCGCGTATGTTTTGGTCTTCATTGCTCATAATGTTATCATAAATTATTGTGATGTATTGTGCTACGAATTCTTGAGGCATTTTTGAGTAATCGTATATGTCGATTGTTTGTAAATTCTGTATAAATAAATTGAAATATTTTTCGTCAACATTTTCAATAAAATACTCCATAGTCTTTTTTAATAAAATATTCCGCATCGATAAATTTGTTTCTAATCGACTTGAGGTAACTAAAAAATCATGGTACGAATTAACAGGAAGTAAATGTTTTCCTAAATATAAAGCGTGTTTTTTTACGGAAATTGCAGCTTCGTAGATGTTTTGTAAAAACTCGGGGAGAAGATTTTGGGGTACTTTGTAAGCTATTTTGTAAAGTGATCCCAAAGCGTGTTTTAAATAATCAGCTTTACAAAATGTTCTTATCAATTTCATATTTTCCGGTGTGGAAATTTGTGGGATATATTTAATAATTTGTCGTTGTTTTGCTACGAAAATTTTATCGGTGTTTGGTTCTATTTTAGCATCTTCCGGTGGTAAAAACTTGGAAACAACATCGATAAATTTCTTATCGTACGATATGAATTTAAGTAAAGCAGCGTCAATGTCGACGTCGCTATCTTCAAGTTGGTGAAAACACAAATCGGTATAAACCTGTAGATGAGTTTTTATAAAGTAGGGACATAACAAGATTTTGCGAACTATTTTATTTAATCCATATATTTTTTTGTGTATGTTGTCAAAATGATGAAGTTCTTTTGGGCAATATTCAAGACAATATAATATAATTTGTGTGTTGATGTTGTGTGGTTGATTAAAGTATTGAATGTATTTATTAAAGGATTTATCTTTGTTGTAGTTTTTAATGAAATAAAATTCATCTCCAGTTTGTTGACTGAAGCTATAATTAACACCGTAATCTAAAATATAAGCGTACTCTAAAACATTGATTTCTTTAGGGAATCGTTTATCGAATTCCACAACCATGTGTAATAAACTAAAATATAATTTCTGACTTTCTCCTTCTAAACGTTTACTCATTTCTTCAATAAAAATTTTCATATGTTTTTTTGAATGTTCAAAAGAATAATTCGTATTAATAAAAAAATTTTTAAGACATCTTTTCATGAATTCATCTAATAAATGTTTATACGGCTTATTATTATCAACGAGCCAAACGAAATGTCGTTCAAAAAAGTGTTCCCAATTCGCATGAATTCCTGAATATTCTAAATATTCAATAAGATTATAAATTGTTTCCCAATGTTCTTCGCTAAATCGACTATAATCTTTCCAACTATAAGTTACATCATGCACAAATTCATTTAACGCTCTCGTATCATTCTTATACCGACCATAAACAAATTTCAAAACCTCCAATAAAGCTTTCGCATCGCTGTTTATGTTACAAGTTTTATAAAGGGTACGAATTAAGTCTAGACGGGTATCAGGATCGTTTGCACTTTTTAATTTTTCTTTAACAATCGGTATTGAGCGATTTATTGGATAATAATGTAAAAAATCTTCTTTATCACTTATTTTATCTAAAACGTATTCTCTTTCCTCAGTTGTAAAATATTGCAAAAAATCCCCATTTATTAAATAGACGTAATCGTTAAAATTTTCTTTATACATTTTCATAAATAATTCTTGTAATAAAGGAAAAATTTGTTTTTTAGGCATATAAATAATTGGCGAATTATTAGGGCTAATATCCCTAATATAATCGCTTAAATTATTGGGATAAGATTTTAAAATTAATTCTTTATGCATATCAACTTTTCTGGCTGCGTTTAACAGATGTTTACCTGTTATGAGTGTTTGGGGGTTCAGAAAACTATGTTTTATCATTCTTTCTTTCGTTGGGAGAAGTTTCATTGCACCCCGGCTCCCAATATAATACAAAAATTGATAATTTTTATGTAATCTCCAAAAGAATGGTATGTTAGATCTAGTTTGAGCGATATATTTAAAAATTTTTGTGTAATTTGAAATTGTTACATTTTTGTGCTTAGTTTTGATCATCAATTCGAAATAAAACTCTAAAAATTCCGGATCCTTTTTATAAATTTCTAATAAACTACGACAAGATAAATATAATATGTATTTAGAACATTTATCTTTGATTAGATTAAGAGAGCAGCAATGTAATAAAATAATTGCTGTTTTTATACCAAATTTTTCTTCTAATCTATTAAATAAGTCATCAGCTAACTTGGGATTATCATTTATGTTTTTACCAATTATTTTAATGACCTTCATACTTGTTTTATAAGACAATTTCGGCAAAAAATTGTCTACAAAATCATCTACACTCATTTTATTAAGCAAATTCTTAAAGTATATCCAGTTTTTCAAAATTCTCCCCACAGCAGCGTCATTTCCAGTTTTTAAAACATCGAGAATCGACGATTCTAATTGAAAATGTACGATTAATTCATTTTTTAAATTCTTATCATACTCAGTTGTTGTAATTAAGTTATTAATGAAATCTTGAATTTCTTCATAACTATACTCGGCTTGCAGAGTTTTTATAAAACCATTCAAACTTCTCTTCTTCTCCCTGTATGAGTCACCATGTAAATTAAGAAAGGAGGTAATTGCTTTCCTCGTTTTTTCAGATAAAATCTAAAGAAAATAATTCTCATTTAAATAATCAATTAGAAATTAGAAAAATTGTTACCTCATCATCCATGGTTAAATTAGAAGGATTCAATTAAACGAGGCACCTTAATCACTCGATGAACATAACGTTGTGAAATATATTTTTGTAAAAACAAATTTTTTTCTGTAAATAACATTGCGCAAGCGCTAGTTTCGATAATTTCAACAAATTTACCGACAGATAACATTTTGCAGTATCTACTCTAATAAAAAACACAGTACATGTTTTATATATATTAAATTATTATTAAATTAGTTGTTATTTATTCATTTTAAGATATTTTATACATATGACACTGACAGATTAAATCTTTGTTACCGCCAACCTCACATGCTAAAACATCCCTAACAAAATTACCCAAAAACATAAATTTAAAGATAAAATTTAAGTTAGTTTTAACCCATAACTTGGATAATAAAACGGAATATTACAGTCCTTAATTAATTAATGTTTAAAATTAATTTTAAAAACAGCGTTTAGATTTAAATTAGAAATATTTCCCGCGTTGACGGAAATCGTGGCAACCATTGGCCGGTAAAACAGATTGATTTAAATAAAAACTTAACATCGCGCACAAAAGACTGTACAAAAATAAGAATTTCTTGTGGGTGGTAATCTTTTCATCAATGAACTAAAGAAAAAAAAATAAAAATATAATAAACGTATATAGACGTAGCTAGCTATAAAAAAATTTAACATATTTTGATACTAAATGAAAACATCCGCAAATCTTGCCGATCACAAAGATTTTAATTTATTTTTAACCCGTTCATTTCTATAATAACAATATAAATTTATAAAAAAAAAGTGTGTCTTAAAAAATATCGTAAAGGAACCTATTGTTGTCTTTAAAAAAAGCATGAAGATGATATAACTCGTTATCTGTTATTGTGCTCTTGTTCGAACGCGGAATAATTTCATCGACATTTTAAGCAAATTGAATAAAAAATATATATAAATATTAATAAAAAGCAATATTCACACAATAATAATAAAATGAGGTACCTTGTAACAAGAGTATATTGGAAGTTATTGTCCGTTCGAAAAAGTACTAGGTCTGTGAGCAAATATAATAAACTATGTGCTTTCAAACTCCAGAGATCAACTAAAAAGGATTAATAATTTTTGTTGTACATGTCAAATTTCTTTATAAAATTTTTGGAGACTTCGGTCTGTATCTAATCACCCACTTAACACCCCCTCGAGAACCATTTATCAATGTTATTAACCAAATATTACAAAAATAAATGAAAAATGTGTGAAACTAAAGTGTTTTTATGTATTTTGGTTGTTTATGTGATGAAAACATCTTTAAAAACTACTGATGTATTGACGGAATTTAAATTGCTTTATCAAATAAATTATTTTCGAATTATATTTGTTTATTATTAAAATAACTTTAAAACTATCTTAACTTAACCTTCACTTATTGTTGCACGAACCGCTAATCCCGAATGTTTATAGTTTTAGCTCTATTGTTTGTTCTTGTGATAGTTCCAATAGTTTCAAATTTCGCCAATTTCGGACCAGTACATTTTCTAGATGTTAGTATAAAATCAAAAGTTTATGCCTTTTATTTTATATAAAATTTAAGTCTAACTAGTTTTGGTCCTTAGCTATTTTCAGAAACTCTACAAATAGATTAACATCTCTCATCTTATCCATTTTACAAACGATAGCGGTAGGTAGCGCTTGTATTCAATTGAGTTAAATCTTTTTATGGATCTAGTCTTTATGGTCCATTACTAAGGTTTTATGTATAAAAAGTATTTCCCCATCGCCTTTAGTTTTTGAGTTATAATTGAGTTAATTTTCGAAAATCAACAATTTTGATGTTTAATCGATTTAGAGCTTATAAATAAAAAATGGTAATAATTGGGTTCAATCTTTTTATGGATCCAGTCTTTATGGCCCATTACTAAGGTTTTATGTATAAAAAGTTTTTCTCCATCGCTTTGTTTTTGAGTTATGATTGAGTTAATTTTCGAAATCAACAATTTTGATGTTTAATCAGTTTAGAGCTTATAAATAAAAAATAGTAATAATTGGGTTCAATCTTGTTATGGATTTAGTCTTTATGGCCTATTACTAAGGTTTTATGTATAAAAAGTATTTCCCCATCGCTTTTAGTTTTTGAGGTATAATTGAGTTAATTTCAGAAAATCTACAATTTTGATGTTTAGTCGATGTAAAGCTACTAAATAAAGAACGGTTATAATTGAGTTCAATAATAGGGTATAGGGTTCAATAAACTAAATAATTATTATAACCGTTTGTTTCTGGAATACAATTTTGTTAAAATGCTATCAAAAAAGATTTTCCCTAAAAATAACATTGCATTACATCAACGCCATCTATCAATGAATTCTTACAAAATCAATTATGATTAAAAAAGACCAAGATATTTTATTTTCCAACCATTTTTTATTATTCAAAGGAATTTATAATCATAAATTTAAAACCAATCAAACTAGGATAAACTCCTCCTCCTCAAAACTTATCAATATCCCTTTGAGATGTAAAAAATAAGCAAAAATAGCAACTCTCTACTTCAACTTCTTTTTGGGGCGGAGATTATTGGTGTGTCCACATTTGCTTTTACGGCAATTAGTAGCGCGAGGATGGAGTCTAGCGTAACATTTACGACAGATCATCTTGTCACAATTGTATTTTTGAGCTAAAATACGAAGGGAGGGTTCGATGATGCCACCACGAAGACGCAACACCAAGTGAAGCGTCGATTCCTTTTGAATGTTGTAGTCGGAAAGAGTGCGTCCATCTTCCAGTTGTTTACCAGCGAAGATTAAACGTTGTTGATCTGGTGGGATACCCTCCTTGTCTTGGATTTTTGCCTTGACATTTTCGATGGTATCGGAGGGTTCAACCTCGAGGGTGATGGTTTTACCGGTTAGGGTTTTCACGAAAATTTGCATTGCGGCGTCTCTAAAAAAAATAATTATTAATTTTTAAACATTTATTCCAAACAATTAATTTTTAGATCAAGCAACAACATGTCGGAATTTGACATAACCTCAATGTCGTTTTATTTTTGCGAAAATCCGGGATAAATTTTGTGTAAATTCGTTTGAGTTGATTTGTATAGGTGAAGAAATAATTTGTGTCTCGGATTTTATATGATATTAGCGGTTATTTATGGATTTTACGATAGATAAAGCGAAGACTTACCTCTGTTAAAACGTGTTCGCCACAATATTCCAGGATAAGAGACAGACAATTGCAATCTGTTTTACCGGCCAATGGTTGCCACGATTTCCGTCGACGCGGGAAATATTTCTCATTTAAATCTAAACGCTGTTTTTAACATTAATTTTAAACATTAATTAATTAATTGTTATAGTATTCCATTTTATTATCCAAATTATGGGTTAAAATTAACTTCCCATTTTCGAAATAACTTTAAATTTATGTTTGGGGGTAATTTTGTTAGGGATGTTTTAGCATGTGCGGTTGGTGGTAACAAAGATTTAATCTGTCAGTGTCATATGTATAAAATATCTTAAAATAAATAATTATCAACTAATTTAATAATAATTTAATATATATCAAACATGTATTGTGTTTTTTATTAGAGTAGATACTGAAAAACCTTATCTGTCGATAAATATATTAAAATTAGAGAAACTAGCGCTTGCGCAATGTTATTTACAGAAAAAATTTGTTTTTACAAAAAAATATTTCACAACATTATGTTCATCGAGTGATTAAGGTGCTTCGTTCAATTGAATCCTTTTAATTTAACCATGGATGATGAGGTAACAATTTTTTTAATCTCTAATTAATCATTTAAATGAGAATTGTTTTCTTTAGATGTTAACTGAAAAAACGAGGAAAGGTATTGCCTCCTTTCTTAATTTACATGGTGACTCATACAGGGAGAAGAAAAGAAGTTTGAACGGTTTTATAAAAACTCTGCAAGCCGAGTATAGTTATGAAGAAGTTCAAGATTTCATTAATAACTTAATTACAACGACTGAGTATGATCATAACTTAAAAAATGAATTAATTGTACATTTTCAATTAGAATCGTCGATTGTCGATGTTTTAAAAACTGGAAATGACGCTGCTGTGGGGAGAATTTTGAAAAACTGGAAATACTTTAAGAATTTACTTAATAAAATGAGTGTAGATGATTTTGTAGACAATTTTTTGCCGAAATTGTCTTATAAAACAAGTATGAAGGTCATTAAAATAATTGGTAAAAACATAAATGATAATCCCAAGTTAGCTGATGACTTATTTAATAGATTAGAAGAAAAATGTGGTATAAAAACAGCAATTATTTTATTACATTGCTGCTCTCTTAATCTGATCAAAGATAAATGTTCTAAATACATATTACATTTATCTTGTCGTAGTTTATTGGAAATTTATAAAAAGCATCCGGAATTTTTAGAGTTTTATTTCGAATTGATGATCAAAACTAAGCACAAAAATGTAACAATTTCAAATTACACAAAAATTTTTAAATATATCGCTCGAACTAGATCTAACATACCATTCTTTTGGAGGTTAAATAAAAATTATCAATTTTTTTATTATATTGGGAGCCGGGGTGCAATGAAACTTCTTCCAACTAAAGAAAGAATGATAAAACATAGTTTTTTTAACCCGCAAACACTTATAACAGGTAAACATCTGTTAAACGCAGCCAGAAAAGTTGATATGCATAAAGAATTAATTTTAAAATCTTATCCCAATAATATCAGCGATTATATTAGAGATATTAGTCCTAATAATTCGCCGATTATTTATATGCCTAGAAAACAAATTTTTCCTTTATTACAAGAATTATTTATGAAAATGTATAAAGAAAATTTTGACGATTACGTCTATTTAATAAATGGGGATTTTTTGCAATATTTTACAACTGAGGAAAGAGAATACGTTTTAGATAAAATAAGTGATAAAGAAGATTTTTTACATTATTATCCAATAAATCGATCAATACCGATTGTAAAAGAAAAATTAAAAAGTGCTAACGATCCTGATACCCGTCTAGACTTAATTCGTACCCTTTATAAAACTTGTAACATAAACAACGATGTAAAAGCTTTATTAGAGGTTTTGAAATTTGTTTATGGTCGATATAAGAATGATACACGAGCGTTACATGAATTTGTGAATGATGTAACTTATAGTTGGAAAGATTATAGTCGATTTAGCGAAGAACATTGGGAAACAATTTATAATCTTATTGAATATTTAGAATATTCAGGAATTCATACGAATTGGGAACACTTTTTTGAACGACATTTCGTGTGGCTCGTTGATAATGATAAGCCGTATAAAGATTTATTAGATGAATTCATGAAAAGGTGTCTTAAACAATTTTTTATTAATAAGAATTATTCTTTTGGGCATTCAAAGAAACATATGAAAATTTTTATTAAAGAAATGAGTAAACGCTTAGAAGGAGAAAGTCAGATATTACATTTTGGTTTATTAGATATGGTTGTGGAATTTGATAAACGATTCCCTAAAGAAATTAATGTTTTAGAGTACGCTTATATTTTAGATTACGGTGTTAATTATAGCTCCAGTCAACAAACCGGGCATGAATTTTATTTCATTAAAAACTACAACAAAGATAAATCCTTTAATAAATACATTCAATACTTTAATCAACCACACAACATCAACACACAAATTATATTATATTGTCTTGAATATTGCCCAGAAGAACTTCATCATTTTCAGAGCATACACAAAAAAATACATGGATTAAATAAAATAATTCGCAAAATCTTGTTATGTCCCTACTTTATAAAAAGTCATCTACGGGTTTATACCGATTTATGTTTTCACCAACTTGAAGATAGTGACGTCGATATCGAAGCTGCTTTACTTAAATTCATATCGTACGATAAAAAATTTATCGATGTTGTTTCCAAGTTTTTACCACCGGAAGATGCTAAAATAGAACCAAACGCCGATAAGATTTTCGTAACAAAACAACAACAAATTATTAAATATATCCCACAAATTTCCACTCCGGAAAATATGAAATTGATAAGAATATTTTGTAAAGCTGATTATTTAAAATACGCTTTGGGATCACTTTACAAAATAGCTTACAAAGTACCCCAAAATCTTCTCCCCGAGTTTTTACAAAACATCTACGAAGCTGCAGTTTCCGTAAAAAAACACGCTTTATATTTAGGAAGACATTTACTTCCTGTTAATTCGTACCATGATTTTTTAGTTACCTCAAGTCGATTAGAAACAAATTTATCGATGAGGAACATTTTATTAAAAAAGACTTTGGAGTATTTCATTGAAAATGTTGACGAAAAATTTTTCAATTTATTTATAGACAATTTACAAAAAATCGACAAAAACGACAAAGATTTATACGATCACTTAATAGATTACTCAAAAATGCCTCAAGAATTCTTAGCGAGATACATCACAATAATTTATGACAACATTATGAGCAATGAAGACCAAAACATTCGCGATAAAGCGATTCATTTAATAGAAAATCTACCTAATTATGTAATAGATGAAATAAACGTTGATTTAATGATGCGATATCTTAAAACTGCCGATTTAGCCACCACTAATTTCATTAACAAATGTTTATTTCATACTACAGGAGAAAAACACAACGAAATATACGCATATATAATGAAGTTAATTACGGAATTAGTTAAAAAATGTACACCAACAAACATTCAAATGAGATCGAAAGTAACAACTTTGATTATTACGATTACAAACGAAGCCAGATCTCTTAACAACATTAAAATTATCGAAAATCTTCATACAATTCTAAAAACAAACGTTCAACAACACACTCTCATTACGATAAAACTCCTATTAGAACATAGTATTATATTCTTGAAATCCAACAAAGATCCCAAGATATTCTCCGAAAACATCAAACCTCACTTATTTGAAATGATCGAATTATATTCTTTTAATATGATTGAATTTTATACAAAAGAATTGCAATCATTTATTGATTCGCATGATGGTTTCGATAAATTTTTATTTATTGAAAACCTTTTCAACGATGGCAATGAAAATGAGATTGTTTATTTTGTTGTGATTGGTTTATTTCCGTGGTGTTTACCAACAGAAAAAAATTGTTTTGCTAATTATGTACCCATGTTGGAAAAATTAAAATTAAGTGATGATCCTAGAATTATGGCCGATTTGGATTTGTATTTTCAAAGAGCTTCATAAACTTTTGTACTATTACAAATAAATATATTGTTAAAATTGTTTTTTTTTATTTTTTTGATTAGTATTTATAATCAATAAGTATGGGAAAAAAATTTGAATTTATGTTGTTGCCCAAAAGGTTGCAAATTCGCCCAAATGCTGGCAATAAAGCTAGACATCTTTATCAAAAAAAGGAATGAGACAGCATAGAACTAGATCCTACAAGATCCTTCTTCTTACTACAACAAGAAATATATTAATTAAATTTGCTACAAAATCCTTTTAATTTCATGCCGATATCTCAATTATTTTTTGAGATACATATGTTTAAAGATTTATATCTGTCAATCTAACTTTTAGAGTTAGTCGGAGTTGAATTCAAAACATCATAACCCCAGAGTTTAAAGATTCGAAGAATTCACCCTCAACATATTAAATATTAATTAAATTAGCTATAAAATACTTTTTATCTTAACCTGATATCTCAATTAGTTCTTGAGATATAATTGTTTAAATAAACATTGTCGATTATGACCAACGTTTTCCAGAGTTCATTTTAAAAAATCGAACCTCAACATTAGAAGATTTGTATAAATATCTCTCAATGTGTTAAATATTACTTAAATTAGCTACAAAATCCTTTTAATTTCATGCCGATATCTCAATTAGTTTTTGAGATACGTATGTTTAAAGATTTATGCCTGTCAATCTAACTTTTAGAGTTAGTCAGAGTTGAATTCAAAATATCATAACCCCAAAGTTTAAAGATTTGAAGAATTCACCCTCAACATATTAAATATAAATTAAATTAGCTATAAAATACTTTTTATCTTAACCTGATATCTCAATTAGTTCTTGAGATATAGTTGTTTAAACATTGTCGATTATGATTGACGTTTTACACAGTTTATTTCAAAAAATCGTAACCTCAACATTAGAAGATTTGTATAAATATCTCTCAATGTGTTAAATCTTAATTAAATTTGCTACAAAATTCTTTTTATTTCATGCCGATATCTCAATTAGTTTTTGTGATACGTACGTTTAAAGATTTATGTCTCTCAACTTAATTTTTCAGCCAAAAAAAAGCAAATTCATTCAAAAACTTTTTTAATCGTTGACTAAAAAAGTTGAGTATAGACCACATTACTATTTTTATTCACTGAATGAATAAATTCAGTGATCATTTCATTCATAAATGTAATCTTTACAAGTTTGTAAAATCTCATTGATAGATGTCGCCTATCATCTATATATAACATTTTACAATTACAATTTGGCGCTTGCGCAATTGTAGTAAATTAATGTTTTCTTTTATAAAAAAAGTTTCACAACATAGCATGAGTGATTTATGAGGCGCAACTGATAAAGTTTCCCTTTAAAACCGCAGTTTTGTCTAAAATTTCTTCAACCATGGACGATGAGGTAACAAAAATGTTATTTCTTAATTTTGTTTAAACGAAATTGTTTCAATTCTTAGATGTTAACTGTAAAAACGAAAACTGCGATTGATAAGTTTTTTAATTTAAACGGAGAGACGTATATGGAGAAGAAAAAAAGTTTAAATGCGTTCGAAAAAACTTTGAGATCGGAGTATAGTTTTGGGGAAGTTCAAGATTTCATCAGCAATTTAATTACAACCACTGAATATGATCGAAGTTTGAAAGCTGAAATTATAGTCCGTTTTCAATTGGATTTGGCGATTATAGAAACTTTAAAGTCGGGGGATGAAGTCGGTATTGGTAAAGTTTTAAAGAATTGGGTATTCTTTAAGAATTTATTTAATAAAATAAGTATAGATGATTTTGTTGATAATTTTTTGCCACAATTGTCTTATAAAACAAGTATAAAAGTTATTAAAGTAATCGGTAAAAATTTAAGCGATTCTGAATTCGCGGATAATTTATTTAATAAGTTAGAAGAAAAAATTGGGATTAAAACAGCCACACTTTTATTACATAACTGCTCGCTTTATCTGATTAAAGATAAATGCTCCCAATACAGATTAAAATTATCTTCTCGATGTTTATTGTTAATTTATAAAAATCACCCGTCGTTTATGTTTTATTATTTCGATTTAATGAGTAAACAAAAACAGAGGCATTTTACGCTTTCAAGTTATAAGCAAGTATTTAAATATATCGCGAAAACAAACTTAAAATTATTTTGGGAGTTGTATTCGAAGCATCAATTTTACATCAAAATTGGAAAACGTCGAGCAAAAAAGCTTCTTCCCACTCAAGAAGTGATGATCAAGTACGGGTTTGAACACAAACATCTTTTTAAAGGGAAACACATCGTAAATGCAGCCATGAAACTTAATCTGCATAAAGAATTAATTTTTAAATCTTTTCCCGACGATTTAAACGTTTATATCAGAAACAGTATTAATCCCCACACCACGTCAAATATTCTTTATATGCCTAAAAACCAAATATTTCCTTTGTTGCAAGAATTGTTTGAAAGAAAATATAAGGAAGATTTTCGAAATTACGTTTCATTAATGAGCTGTGATTTTCTTAGGTTTGTTACAATTAATGAAAGGGAGTATATTTTAGATAGAATAAGTGATAATAAAGAGAATTATTTATGTTATTACCCGATAAATAGATCGATTCCTATTTTGAAAGATAAATTAAAGAGTGCTAATGATCCAACGACACGATTAAAATTAATTTGTGCCCTTTATGAAACTTGCAATGTAAATAAGAGTGCGAAAAGTTTGTTGGAGGTTTTAAAGTTTGTGTATGATCGGTATAAAAATGATACGACAGCTTTGGATAAAGTTTTGGGTAACATCGTAAAAACTTGGAAAGATTATAGCGAATTTACACAAGAACATTGGGAAATGATACAGAGTGTTATAGAGTATTTAGGGCATTCGGGAGTTTCCGCGAATTGGGATCATTTTTTTCAAAGGCGTTTTATGTGGCTGATTGATAATAATAAATCATATCAAAGCTTAATGGACGAGTATATGGAGAGGTGTATAACTCGAAAAAGCTTAGGTTGGAATTATTATTTTAATAAGTCTTTGAGACACATGAAAATATTTATTGAAGAAATTCATAAGCGATTACCCGAAAACGATTACAATTTCTATTTTTATTTATTACACCTCGTAGTGGAGTTCGATAAAAAATTCCCTAACGAAATTAACATCTTAGATTTCGCTTACATCTTAGAATATGGCATTAAACACGGTCGAAATCAACAAACTAATCACGAATTTTATTTCATTAAAAACTACAATAAAGATGGATCGTTTAATAACTACATTAAATATTTTGACCAACCTTATCACATCGAACCAAAAATTGTGCTATATTGCCTTAAAAATTGCCCGGAAGAATTAGATAATTTCCATAACATCCACAAAAAAATGAACCGGATTAACAACAAAATTCGACACTTTTTGCTATGCCCTTACTTCGTAAAGAAACACCTCCCAGCTTATAACAAATTGTGTCTTGAACAGCTCGAAACCGCCGGGACAAACATCGAAGTCGTTTTGATCCATTTCTTTTCGTACGACGAAAAATTCGGCGAAATAATCCCCAAATTTTTACCCCCCGAAAATGCGAAAATCGAGCCAAAAACCGACAACACCCACATATCAAAACAACAAGAAATCATAAAATATATCCCTCAAATACCCACACCACTAAACATGGAATTAATACGAATATTTTGTAAAGGTGATTATTTAAAATTCGCTTTAGGATCGCTTTATAAAATCGCGTATAAAATTCCGCAAAATCTCCTCCCGGAATTTTTACAAAACATTTTCGAAGCTGCAGTTTCCGTGAAAAAACACGCCCTATATTTAGGGAGACATCTACTTCCTGTTAATTTGTATTACGATTTCTTAGTTTCATCGAGTCAATTAGAAACGAATTTATCAATAAGAAACATTTTATTAAAAAAAATCATCGAGTACTTTATAGAAAACGTCGATGAAAAATTTTTTAATCTATTTATAACAAATTTAGAAAAAATCGACAAAAACGATAAAGATTTATACGATTATCTAATCGATTATTCAAAAATACCCCAAGAATTTATTTCAAAATACATCACCGCAATTTATGATAACATAATGAGCAACGAAAACGAAGATATCGTCGATAAAGGATATTATTTAATGGATGATTTGCCTGATCACGTAATGAACGAATTAAGCATTGATTTAATGGAACGATACATTAAAACCGTTGATTTAAACACAAATAGATTTCTTAATAAGTGTTTATTTCACACCACCGGAGAAAAACATTCTAAAATGTACGAGTTTATCATGAATTTAATTAATGAGTTATTAAAAAAATACGTCCCTACAAACAATGAATTGAGGAAAGAAATTACAACTGTAATTTCAAACATTACAGATTACGCCACTTGTTGTAATAACATTAAAATAATTGAAAACCTCAACACTATCTTTAAATCCAACGTCCAACACACTCTTATTACGACGAAATTTAAATTGGAATTTAATTTAATATTTTTGCAATCTAAAAAGGATCCTAAGAAATTCGCCGAAAACATCAAACCTCATTTATTAGAAACTATCGAAATATATACGTCCAAAATGATCGGATTTTATAAGAAGACTTTACACTATTTCATAGGGTGCTTACAACAATTTGATAAATTCTTATTTATTCGTAACTTTTTTAATGATGGTAACGAAAATGCGATCGTTTATTTGATTGTAATTGGTTTGTTACCGTCTAATTTACCAACTGAAAGAAATATTTTTGTAAATTATTTACCGATTTTAGAAAAATTGAAATTAAGTGATGATCCTAAAGTTATAGCTGAGTTAGATTTGTATTTCCAAAATGTTAATTGTAATTCTTAATAAAAAATGTTATTAAAAAAAGTAATCTTTTTTATTTATTCCTATAATAGTTAGAAAGAAAAATTTAATCATGTTTCCCAAACATCATATTTTACATTTTGCAAAAATAATGAGTCTTATTTCTTTACATTTAGATATATGGATTGTTGACTAGTTCTCTTCTTGATATTAATAACAAACTTTTAGACTGTGTCAAAAGTTACAACCTCGTTGGTTTGGAGTCTTTATTTTAACTAAGTTAAGATATACTTAACGTCCCACACAGTGTGACGACCAATACTACGAATAATGTTGCAGATGTAATCTTCTATCTTTTTTAAACTCAAACTAAAGAGATAATTGCCCAGGAGATTGTAAGAATGCCTTCCTTGACAGCATTGTCGAACAGAAAAAAAAAATTGAATCAGCCAAATTTTGTGTGGATTACCAACACCTTTGCACTACTGAGTACTGTATTATTTATTTGTTTTATCTGTTTGGGTTGGGTTGGATTGGGTTACTGGTAAAACGCTATAAGGAATCCAAACACGCCAGCCACTTTCCAAAACATGATATGGCACCAACATCAAGATATCATCAACTTCAGCAAGAATTCGAAAGAACACCTCCACCAGCTCCATCGAAATACCATCTTGAATATTCAAAAGACTGCAAATACATAACCATCACCTTCCCTCAGAGAAAGGCCAATTCTAAAAAGGATGACAATTAAGCCACGTGCATAAGGCACACAAAGAAGAAACAGTTGTGCTAAATTTTTCAACAGTTGAGTAACATCATTCAAATTAACATTTCACAACTTATAAGAAATACATACTTACACTTCCAACGTTGATATGCACCTTCCAAGCAGACACCAAGAACATTGCGGCAGTCCTTTCTGGAATATCTAGGACACGAAAATAATATATCTGGAGAATGACTCCTTTATACTAAATACCAACGGCTATAATCTGCTGTTGGTAAAAACACACCGCATTCTATTTGAAGCTAAACCGATGATCCCTATTTAACATATACTCGGCAAGAAGAACGAATTATTAGATTTCTGCCATAACAAAACCTTAATAGTACAGTGATCCATCTGCGATGAACAAATATTGTTTCCTTTCTGGCTTTAAGTCAAATCCAACACCCCAGGAATTTCACCTTAAGCTCGAATTACATAACAATAATGAAACTATGTATAAGGTGAAGCAAAAATTCTTGGAAGGATGTGTACAAGGTGATTTATTAGCTCACCATCAAACTTGGACATATGATAGCTAATCCAATTACCAAAAAAAAAAGTTAATGAACATATGTGCTATTTCAATTATTTACGATTAACTGCTGCATTTTTTTAACACATAAATATTACAAATATTGTTCAAAATAGCCTCATTCTGCTAGAATACATGCTTCACAACGACGAATTAAAGAGTTCTTCAGCCGAATTAAAATGTCTGATAAATGACCTCTGGTTAAAATGACCTCTGCTCATATCGCTAACAACATGACTTAACCATTAATCGTCTTTCTTATAATAATTAAGCCATTGCAAAAATTTAACACCTTACTTTTCTTTTTGTTGCTTTTCCCCTCTTCAATTTGTTGCTCTTTCACTAATTTTACAGCATTTTCCCAAAATGCAACAATCACGACAATTTTCCTGCTTTTGAGCAAACGATTTAGTGCAACCAAAAATACTACTAAAACAAATCAGATTTTTATCTTTTAGCACATCTCTCCTATTTTATGAATTGTATTTAAACTCTGTTTTAGACTAATCGCAGCAGTTATATAACTAATTTGGCATCTGCCAAGAAAACTTATTCCATTCTGCATTTATTCGGCGTACCTTCTCCGAATCTCGGGCGTTATTTCATTGATAGCAATATTTTGACCAAGATATATTTTGCAATAAAGAAGGAAGTAGGAAAAAGCAAGAAAAATGAAAGGCCGTCCATTATCTGATATATCTAATTATCAGTCATGTAGCTTTTGTGAGTTTATCTGAAACTACTTGACGAATTCTAATATCATAAATACACCTTAACAAGTCTCCACCATACGCAGAATCACACTAATTAAAGTTCATGTTCATAATCTGAACCAATACAAATCAGTTATTGAACGTTAATGTTAAGATTTCGTACTCGTTCAAAAAATCAACTTGCTGGTTATTCAATAGAAATATCTAATGGAGTATTAATACTTGTAGAAATGGGAAAATGTAACAGATATATATTTATGAACCTCAATGCTCCATGCTAAGAGGAGCTCATCAACAAAGCATGTGTTATATAATATAATAACGTACTTAGAGATCGAGTTTCAGACAATCAACCATCAATCACAACTTTATGAGATCTGCGCCACCAGCACTAGTTTAGCCGTGCGTCTAAAGACTAGGCTTTATCAGAAGGACTAGGCCAATTACAAAAAAGAATTTTAATGAACATATGTCCTATTTCAATTATTTACGAAATTATAACACTTTAAAGTTTTAATTTTTATATCATAATTAACTGTTACATTTGTTTTAAAACACATAAATATTACAAATATTGTTAAAAATAGCCTCCTTCTGCTAAAATACATGCTTCACAACGACGAATTAAAGAGTTCTTCAACCGAATTAAAATGTCTGGTTGATTTCTTATTTCAGTAGCAGCCATTTGCATTCTGTTTAATAACTGTTCTCGTGTGTTAATTTGATACACAATTTATTTCAGATAACCCCATTAGTAGAAATCCAATTAATGTCGGGGAATCTAAGTGGTCAAGCAAATGGACCTTTATTACCAATCCACTTGTTTGGAAAATATTGCTTTAACCACTGGACAACATATTTTGAATTACATTAAGATGTTTTTCTTCAAGTAAATCAAAAAGTGTATTGTTCAAAAAAAATCTGTAATTTACAGCGTTCAAACGTCTATCAAGTACATGCAAACCTAGTAAATTGTTGTTAAATATTCCACCTCAAATATTGATGCTGAAACGTTGTTGAAATTTCCTTGGTCTAATCGCATCCGGATTTTGTAATGCCCAGATATGTTCATTATGGTAATTATTTATACCATCTCGTGTAAAACATGATTCATCTGCCCAGAAAACATTTGAAATTAAGTCATTATTTTGGGCATGTTGCTGCAATAATCATGCACAAAAGGCTAACCGTTGCTGATTATCTTCTGGCTGTAGAGGTTGAACATTCTGTTTACGATACGGATGAAGGACTTCGCTGTTCAATACGCGCCATGCAAAATTTTAACTTACATGTATGTTGTGTACTATTCTTCGAGTGCTGATGGAAGGATTATCAATGACAGCATTAATTTCAGCTTCTTCGTCCTCTACATTAACTACATGCGGTCGAATAGCTTTTGCTAGAGCAGGATTACCTGACTACCACGAAAATTACATCAGCACACTCTTCAGTGCTATAAGCGTACATTTTGAGTTTCTTCTTGTTTGCAATAATTAAACCTTACAGCAAACTGACATATTACAATGACAACTTTGGTTTTGTTGAATGTTTGATGTTACTGACTATTAATAAATTCGCTGCAGAAAACTTTAAAGTGTAATAATTTCGTAAATAATTGAAATAGGACATATGTTCATTAACATTTAATTTTGGTAATTGGATTAGCTATCATATGTCAAAGTTTGATGGTGAGCTAATAAATCACCCTGTATAACGACCTACAATCTCCTATTGTGTAGAAAGCGCAACACATCAAGAAGCTAAAGATTTGGATATCCCAGAGTCATTATTCATATCGATCAATGAACGATACTGACGAATAACTGACATCAAAATTTTGGGACATCTTGTTCAACTTTCATTTTCAAAGAAATTGATTTCTTCTGTTCTTAGAAATTGCTTTATGTAAGTCCACAAAAAGTTTTGTTGACGCCCCAGCAGTTCAATTTGTACCCAGCTCAAAACAATATTACAGAATTGGGATTCAATGATGTTGGTGAACAGAGAACTAGACGACACTATAATTCTGATCTATATATATTTTTGTCATTATTAATAAAAACAACAAGCTCCAAATTGTTGCAATAACTTTGATACAAATAACTTTGAAATCGCAAAAATATAATTTTACTTCCCTTGAACTAGAAGCTTACGAAATGAATTTCACAGTTAACGTTGGAGAGCAAGTCAAAACTTGGGCACTTCATACCTGTTGTAAGACTTGTGTAACTTCGTTAATAGATTGGTTAGACGGTGCAACTCGTAAAATACACTTTGTAGTACCAATAGTTTAGAGAGACCCAAATAACCGTGTCACGGATTGTTGAGTGCTGTTAGTTGAAAAGCGATATTAGTTCACAACCATCTCTTGCACTTCATGTAAAGAAATCATATATGTCTAAAAATAGAAGCACATCAAATTCAGGTTTCTGCCTAATTTTGCTGGATGAATCTTTGTTCTGTCTACATCACGTACGAACTGATGTTTTTATTCAACACCATAACATCTAAATACTGTAACTATTGTTTTGACATGATTTAGCTTAAAAAAATAAAAGTACACTACGGAATGTGACCGGCATTTGAATAACAAAAGGGGGACTAACAAAAAGAAAAAACGGCGGCGCCGGTCGCCGCTTGCCATGACATAACAGTTGCGCAACGTCGCTTTCTTCGTTACTGTTGCTGCTGCTGCGCTCGTTACGTCGATTCTTTCTTCTTTGGCCGATGCTGCGGCGCGTGGGTCAACGTTTTTACTTTCAAGGTGACGCCGCATTGCGCGCATGTCCACCGACAGGTGGCGCTGCACTTCGGAGAGGCTGTTCACCTGAGACCGCGTACTTCTCAATTAATTCCTTCTCTTCCTCACACACTAACAACAACGTTCTTTTATCACGTTATACTGATTGAGTACATAGACTGGTTTGAGAAATGAATCTAGATCGGAATGGCATTTAATATTGCGCTAACACTACCATTATTGTGTATCGATAATACGAGATAATGCCATATCTATCTGGTAGATAACTTTGATTTATCT